TATCTATCTATCTATCTACAGTATATCTATCTATCTATCTATCTATCTATCTACAGTATATCTATCTATCTATCTATCTATCTATCTATCTACAGTATATCTATCTACAATAAATAGTTTATCTTTAAGTTAAATAAAATATAGCAGTTACATTAAAAACATTTCTTTAAAACAAATTATTTCACATATTTTGCATATACAGTACTCAGTTTCTTATATTCTTGTTTTAATTAAAATAAAAACTAGAAATGTTAATTTGTCTTTTTACCAAAATAAACAAAATGCATTTAACCACAAACGTAGTGGAAACGGTCTCATTTTCAGCTTTTGAATGTACAGTATACTTCAATTAGCTGAAGAGTTCAAACACGTGCACAGCCCCCCCCCCCCCACACACACACACACAAACACACACACGGGTTTGTTTTGTGATCTTTATGGGGACTTTGCATTGAATTCCATTCACTTCTATAGCCTAACCCTGACATTGACCCTAAACCTAACCATTACCAGTGCATCCCTAACCCTAAACCCACCAACAGCACTTCTTCTTATGGGCCCGAGCTTTGGGCCCCATAAGGAGCAATTGGTCCTCACAATGTAGTATAAGTTGGAAAAATGGGCCTTACAAAGTAACATAAACAAGGACACACACACACATTGTAATTCACCCGCCTCGTGGTGCTACGTCGACGGCAAACTGAGCAAAGTTAATGAGTTTAAAACAACATATTAAACCACGGTCCTAAACATCAACCACTTGATCAAAACCACTCCGTTTTTTGGTGAAAATACTCGAAAACTCAACAGAATGTGTTTTAAAACATTTTAAACACAAAAATTCTGTAACTACCTAAAAAAGGATAAGGATACTCTGACACGATGCGTTCATTCAGGCACAAATAATCGATCACAGACGACATTTATCAGAGCAGCTCAGCAAGTCAATCACAGATAAATAACTCAGTCATTTATTTTAACCAGAAAACAGCTTTAAACATTTTTAACAATGAATTTGTATTGTATGTCACTACAACTGTTTTCATTCACCCTTTACCTAAATTGAACCAACTATGCTTTGAAGTAAAGTCAGAGTATCACACGTGCACATACTCCCATCTCAGTGTTGAGCTGTGATACTGGGATCCTGAAGAAGCTCCGCTCAGCTTAAAAACAACACAGGCAGCGACAGCAGCTCTGAGTCACTAAAGTTCAAACCTGAGCCCTTAAATCTTCCTACGAGGATGAACGCCTAAAGAATCAAATCTCTTCCTAAGGTCACTGAATCAGATTTTCTACAAAGGTCAGAAACTTGAATCCAGAATGTTCTTTTTGGACAGTTCATGTAATTTACATGATCAGAGGAGCTTCTGGGGTGTACATGTGCATGGATGTGTGTGTGTTGGGCGGTGGGATGTCAAGACGGGACTCAGGGGTGTAGGTGAGAGGGGGTTAAGGGTTAGGGAGGTTGGCTTTCCTCAGGAAAACATATCACCTTCCACCACAATAGAGAGCATGAGGAAATGAGCAGCAGCCGCATTGCTCTCTTGAGTCAGGCTCTCACACTCATCAGTCTGTCACACACTAACAGCCCCCGGCTGGCAGCTCCACACATTCCAGGATGACTCTGGACTGAACCAAAGCCCAACCTGTTCACCAGGTAAGTGTTCTTCACACAGAAACGTGTTTTTAGATTCAAGTTTTCCTCCAATCACAGAGATTTCTGTTTTTGTCAATCTGTAACATTTCCAACATTTATTATCTGGCAACGTGTTACATTCTGTCAGGACGACCTGTAATGATTTCTTAGAGGACAAACCCAACCCTGCTGATGTGTCTGAGTTAGAAAACCTTGTTTTACTGTTGATTCAACTAAAACAAAATGATCTAAGTAAGCACCATCTTCTTGCCCTTTGCTCTTGTCAGATAGCACAGGATGAAAAAAATAAATCAAAGGTAAATTATAACATTGACAAGAAAGTTTGAGAGCTCATAAATTGACTTTACAGTTCTGTATTAAAATAATAAATAAAAGCAGTAAGTTTACTGTGCATGCTGGTAATTGTCTACATTACTCTGCTTCCTGTGCAAGGTCATTTAAACTTCAAGAAAAAATGGTCCTTTCTTTATTAACGTACCTATCCAAATTTAATATCTTATAAAACTGCTCTAAAGAGAGAGGTCTGTTCAGCTGTCTGCTCACTGAAACCATGTGAAGTCATAAAACTGAAGAAAATACAGCTCTGATTTGAGGACAGATCAGTTTGTTTCGATAACACCAAGTCACAAGAGAAGTCATCTCAGGGCACGGCACAACAACATTCATATACATCAACAGTAAGTTAATAACATTATTCATCTGATTATCATGATTTATCAAAGCAGCAACATGCTGATGATGCTGTAACGTAAACCCAGTTTTAGCTGGAAGTTGATCAGAGAACCACGTGACGGTGTAATCTAACACACCAAGAACATTTCATTTTGTATAAATTAAATGAAATAAAAGAGTGCAACGAAGGAATGAAGATGACTTGTTGTTGTTTGCATGCTCTCCCTGAGTCTGTGTGCTTCCTGCGGCTGCTCCCATTTCCTCCCACAGTTAAAATGCACCTTAACTCAATAACTGCTTCCAAAATAGCCAAAAGTTTAAGGGAGAGCTTTTCTATTGTTTGTGCTAGCACTGTGACAGAACGTTGACTCCTCCAGGTTCTTCTATGATCCTCCTTCTGCCTCAGGATGGACATTTTTGCCTTCTTGTCTACTTTTGTGGGTGTATGCATATTGCTTTTTATTAATTTAACTGTAAACACTGCTTTCACACAATTTAGGAAGAACTGGCTGCAGGGACTTAAGTTCATCTGCCCATTCTCGTCATGTGTTCAGAGTTAAGGTGCTTCCTCAGCTGTCACTGGGTGGGAAGTGGGGGACACCCTGGACAGGCCGACAGTCCCATCACTGGGATACAAAGGGGCTCACACCTAAGGACCAGTGTAGAGTCGCCGTTTAACTTCACACACGTGTGATTGAATTACAGGAGAAAACCAGAGTATCTGGAGAAAACCCACACATGCAAAGAGAAAGCACACAGGGAAGACCCAGCAGGGACTCGGCCCTCCGTCCAGTCAGGCCCTTCTTGCTAACGGACTGCGATGCCATGCAGTCTGGTGGTTCCACACTTGAGGTCAAGACCTCACTGTGGATTCAAAAACATCAAGTGTTGTCTGTCTCTTATGAGAAATAAAGTGTGCAGTTCTAAGTACGTAAATATGGTCAAATGGCTTTTGTCATCATTATTTGCTGGTTTGAATGGTCTTTTTTCAAAGTTTGCATACTTCCATCAAAGACAGCTGGGCTCACCAGTTTCTGCTCCAGTTGCTTTGTGGGTTGGCAGCTACTGAAAAAAGTTTGGGAACCAGCTGAGCCGTTTGACTTCAGTTAGGTCGTAACATTTTGGAAACAGAGATATAGAATTTCTTTCCATTGCAGTGTGAGTGGCTGGAGGTGACGGTTGTGCTTCAGTGTTATAAAACAGTATCGATCTAAAGTTAGTTACGTCTATTCAGGTTCAATCTAAATAATTCATCCTTTGGTTTTTATCTGAAATGATATCTGAATGTGCAGAATCATTATTTCAGTCCCCACTGAGGAGAAACAGGAACAAATAAAAGATGAAGCAACTGTTGAGGTGTTTTTAATTATCTCTTCAGTTTTGGAATGAGCAGTTTAACAGCTCAGGGTCAATCTTTGATTACAGAACTGCAACGTATTATCCAAGTTTTACATTATCTGATGAGTTGTTTTTACATTAAACTGTGTAGAATGACTTACTCAAAGTGAAAATGTCTCATCTCAGAGTATTTTTTAAAAGTGTATCATGCCTCTTGTGTCGGTTGTGATCCAGAAACTGCAGTCAACACAAATATTCAGGCGACCCATTCAAACACATGGAGATGCACTTTAAATAACGTACTTGTGAAATGAAGTTATTTTTGTAAAGTGAATTGCATTCCTGCAACTGGATCACAAAAGAAAACCATTTCAACAGGTCAACATTTTAATAGTAATAGTTTTAGTCAAACTTGTTTCTCACAAAACTTGAGATTTGTTCTCTGTCTTGTTAGTTTTATAATTTCAGACATTACATTTTGTCACATGCCAGAAATAAAAAGATAAATCATAAGTTGGCTGAAGTTGATGAAATTGAACTTTTTTAAACAGTGATGGTTTCTTTGAATACTTGAACAATGTCCAAGACCTTTGTTTTATCTCCACAGTTTGTTAAAGTATTAGTTGCAGTCATGCCAATTTTGAAAAAGCTCCCGGGAAGGTCCAAGAGCTGCCACGAGTTCCCGAGAGTAAACGGAGACCTGATCCTACCTCAACTCAACCTGGACCTGAAGGACTTAAATGATCTCAATGACCTCAAGGAGCTGAATGACCTGAAAGACCTGAACAAGAACCTCAACCCTTTTGAGGATGTGGACCTAGATGAGGATGAAAAAAATGGAGGGGACACAGGCCTCATCATGGGGGAGGTCAGAGGCCCCCCCCAGCTCAGGTCGTTCTGTGATGGAGAAGAAGAGGAGAATGAAGTGAATGCAGAGAGGCATGGTGCAGGGAACCCCAAAGGGAAGCCTCTTAGGGGGACCCTGGAACGGATCTGTGGAGTGTCACCCCTCAAAACTCTTGAAAAATTGGGAAAGGGGCTTCGCATATCAGGAAGAAATGTGTGGTCAAGCAACTCCCCCAACTACACCTCTGGAGACTCAAATACACTCCCAGCTGACAGGGAGAAGAGGAAAGGACTGCGTAGGGGCTCGGAGGGGATTATGACCCTACTTCGGTAAGAAATATTTCAATTTAACTGTTCTATGAAAGTTTAGTTTTTGTGGGAGTGCATCTAGAAAAGTGTGAGAATTTTGATTGAGATATGCATGTACGTATGTATGTACTATATATATATATATATATATATATATATATATATATATATATATATATATATATATA